GCCGCTTTAGAAACTCGCTTCAGGTAATTAAATGCCATCAAATCCCCACTCAGTCTTGTCTACAGACTAAAAAAACCTAGTTCCCTCAGCCTCTCCTCAGAAATAAATGTGCCTCATCCCCCTAAGCATTTTTGTTGCCCTTGGCTGGACTCTCTCCAACTTGTCCACATCTTTCCTATAGCAAGGGGGCCAGAATTGGACACAGGACTCCAGATGTGGCTCATCAGTGCCAAAGAGAAGGGAAGAGTCACTTCCCTCGATCTGCTGGCAATGCTCATACTAATGCAGCCCAGTACCCTGTTAGCCTCCTTGGCAACAAGGGCATACTATTGACTTATATGCAGCTTATTGTCCACTGTAACCCCCAGGCCCTTTTCTGCAGAGCTACTGCTTAGCCAGCTGGTCCCAAGCCTGTAGCAGCACATGGGATTGTTCTGTCCTAAGTGCAGAACTTTGCACTTGTCCTCATTGAACCACACTGGGCCAACCTTCTTTTGGCCCAATCCTCCAATTTGTCTAAGGCCACTCCGAATCATAGCCCTATCCTTCAGCATATCTACTACCCACCCCCCCAGCATGGTGTCATCCTCGAACTTGCTGAAGGTGCACTCCATCCCATCTTCCAGACGGTTAATGAAGATACTAAACAAAAGCAGCCCCAGAACCAACCCAACTAAACATCACACCATTGCTCACTACCTGTTGAGCCTGACAATCCAGCCAGCTTTCTATCCATCTTACAGTCCATTCATTCAACCCATATTTCCTCACCTTGCTTGCAAGAATGTTGCAGGAGATCATATCAAAAGCTTTGCTAAAGTCAAAATATATCACGTCCTCTGCTTTCCCCACATCCACAGAGCCAGTCATTTCATCAGAGAGCAATCAGGTTGGTCAGGCATGACTTGCCCTGGGTGAACCCTTGCTGACTGTTCCTGATCACATTCTTCTCCTCAAAGTGCTTAAAAATGGTCCTTGAGGACCTGCTTCATGATTTTTCCAGGGACTGAGGTAAGGCTGACTGGTCCAAAGTCCCCTAGATCCTCCTGCCTCCCTTTCTTAAATATGGGCACTATATTTGCCCTTTTCCAATTGTCTAGGACCTACGCCTGTTTGCCATGTGTTTTCAAACATAACAACCAGGGCTCTGCAATCGAATCAGCCAACTCCCACAGCACCCTCAGGTGCATTCTAAACAGTCCCTAACCTGTTATTTCATCCTTGTTGGCTGCTCACCTCCTCCCCAAACTGTGCTGCCAGGT